CCCCAAAACCCCAAAACCCCAAAACCCCAAAACCCCAAAACCCCTATAAGAGTAATGGAGGTTGAGTTAAATAAATTATAAATAGAGATGGAAAAAGCCATACCATATTCTGCCTCAGAAACATTTTTAGAAAACCTGTCAAAATCATGTACTAAAATAATGGAGGATCAATCCTCAGTGAAGTTGCAGACTGCCAACGCACAAGAGCTGTACAACTATTTCCAAGTCTACGGGAATACCCTCTATTTTAAACAACAGATATTAATACTAGATTTTAGGCCTAGTGACCAATTTGAACTTTGCCACTTAGTCAGTAGCATAAATATTCCCTTGGAAAAATGCCTTGACTCTGACTTTACTAGTTTTAAAGAGAGTCGCTTCCTTACTAAGTTCTGTCACTCTGAAAAGCAGAAAGAAAGATTTAAAAAGAGAAAACGACTACTCGTTTTCATGGTTGTCTGAAACAAAAATTGTGACCAACTTCTTGAGATAAATTCTAGTCTTTTAGCAGCTAAAAATAAGGGGAGAAAGAGCTTAGGGAAGAAAAATGACCTCAAGGCTCTAAAGAATGCTATCATGATGCAATCGATACTGGTGAAGGATAGGCATAGAGACTGTTACCTTCTTAAATCAGGCATGAACGTTTTTCAAGATAAATATCCATTCTTGTGTGCATTTGAGGGAAGGAAAGCCCACACAGTTGCTGACTGAGGGAGATATCCCAGTGAAATTTTTGAAGCTTTTCTTTATCTCAGTAATTGCAAAGTAGCCAAGGATGCAGACTTATTGCAAACACTAGGAATCACCCACATCTTGAATGTGAGTGATAATGTGCCTAATTATTTTGAAGAAAATTATCTTGGCCTTAAATATTCCAATATTGAGATAGATGATGTTGAAGATGCCCCAATCGAAGATTACTTTGAAAAAGCATATAATATTATCAACAAAGTTCTGACTGGAGAGGATGAAAAATCTGAGGACTCTGACAAATGCTGCTACAAAGAGGAGCATTACTCAGACGAGTTCGATACACAGACGCTTAAACTCGACTTAACTAGTAAAACCATCGATCTGTGGGAAAATTGTGAAATAAAGAGAACAATTTCTTCCATAGATTTGTCAATAGAAGATGCTCATAAGAAAAATCCTAACAGTAGGATCCTGGTGCATTGCGCAATGGGGAGAAGCAGGTCACCAACCATCGTTATTATGTATATAATGAAAAGATTCGAACTGCCATTTGAAATTGCATTTAAGTTAGTTTTACAAAGAAGAGAAAAGATTGATATTAACCCAGGATTTATAGAAAAATTAAAGCAATTTGAAGCGGATGGCTTTAAATTTTCAACTGAGTCTGCTTTTGACTCAAGTGATAGCACAGAAGCAGGAGAAGTTACCCCGAATGCTTCTCTTGCTTAATTTTATTATCAAAAATATTCGATATAATTCTTATTGGTTACTCCATTTAGTTTGAATGAGTGGGGTTTTGGGGTTTTGGGGTTTTGGGGTTTTGGGG